AGATGTACACAGTGCCAGGGTACTGACTGCAGTGGAGGGTGTAACTATCTGCTTAGACCTGCTTATATCGCAAGCAAATACATCAAGGCTTGTGCCCCAGAGCCTAGGCACAACACAGCAAAGCCAGCACAACCCCTTGAGTGCCATAAGAACAGGTGAAAAATATAGGGGATTGTTTGCCAATGAAAAAAATTTATACATTTTTAAATCTTCTTCAAAACGAGCCATCAAATAGGTTGTATAACACATAATGGTAAAATGAATGCATTATGAATGATTTATCATTATGGAAACGCTAAGATGCTTATTGGTGACATGAGTCATATAACATGCAATTTTCACACAATATGTTGTTAATAATGGATAAGGATTTATCAGTATATTATTACATGAAACAGAAAGAGCAATATTAAAACTTGCTCTTTCACTGGAATCAAATAACTTATTATGCACTGAGTTGCTTATGAAATTGAGCTACTCATGCTGTTACTACTAATTACATTTTAATGTCAACTTTTTAAAGTAGATATATATCAAGCCACTGCAGTAGCTCATCACAGATCGGATCCAGATCACTGTTGTACCACTAACCTGAAAAGAACACTTTTCCTAAGCCTACCTACACCATATGGAGAAAAAAGAAAGAGGAAAGCACTACTTTGTGCTAGTTTATAGCATGCAGCAGTATGCAAACTCTTTAAAATTGTCCCTGCCTGTGAGGCCTATTTCACACCCAAATGGGAGGCCTCATTCCTATGTAACTGCTTCAGGAATTTTCAGAGCAGGGGTTCAGTTATGGTGAAGTCTGGGACAAGAGGCTAGGAATTCAAAAGCTGTTTTCAGCAGTGTTCAGATGCTCCCATATGCCTTAATCAGGCCTTTTGCAGATCTAGCTGGACCAATTTAAGACGATATAGCCCTATTCCCCACCCCCCCACCATGTTGCCACCATTCTGCTAATGCCCACCTTAATGTGTCTTCCCTCCCTAAACAAACCACTTCAATAGACTCCTCATTGGCCTCAGTTCCAAGTCATCTGAGTCAGCTTATGCTGCTATTGACGGTGGTCTAAGCTGACATAGCTGACTTTGCAGTCACATCGATGAGGAGTGCTCTTATCATCCATCCTGATACTTGAGCTCTAGGCTGTGACAAGCCCCACATTAGGAAAGATAGCAAGCAATCGTGGCAACCTCTTGACTTGCAGTTTCCAAAGAGGTCCAGCCATAGTGCCATCAAAAGCGGGACTAAACCAACAACAAAGAGTACGGGGCCTCTGCAACTCTCTGACGGCCTTGCATGCAGCAGACCTGAAAACTTCACTTTAGGATTTTATTAGAAAATCAACATACATAGAAACAATAGATAGGAGACAAACTTGATGTCAGGAAAGTCTGAAATAGCTCAGACAATAGCAATACATTTTCTTGTCCTACCTCAGGAAAACAGAATTTGAACTTCTGCCATATAATGCAGGAGATTTTTTTTTGTCAATTCCATTTAATTTAGAGAGCAAATATCTCTACACAGTTAATTGAAAGACCACTGATCAAGAGAGGTTCACAGTCCAGCAGCAAGGTAACAGGAAAGCCCAATGGCAAATGACCACATGTTAGGTAGATATTAGCACATAAATTGCATTCATTATCTTCTTTATGGTTCTCATAAAGAAAAGAAACTTGGAAAATCCATCTGTTTCCACAGATGGGAGCCCCACGACATGATGCTCCAGAGAGTCAGGAACCGCCAGCTCACAGGCTTTGGTGAAAATAGACAACTGCTGCCCCAACTTGTCAGAGTTCCAAGAGGATACAGGGCTTCACTCCAAGAGTACACCTCCATCTAAGGTCTTCTCCATTGACACCTTCCTTTTGTCCCTCTGTTTTCCAAAGAATTTGACCCAGATGTGCAAATACTTCTGGTGTCCCTAAAACTCCCTTTTTTTTCCCTAGAATAGTTCTTATTTTTAGAAAAAAAAAAGAAGAGCCCTACTCTAAGAAGAGGGCTATTACCAAGACACTAAGGGCAGAGAACGGTTTCCTACTTCCTACGTACATTGCTATGCACGTATAGCCATTCCTAGTGAGTCATTACTGGTCTTCTCTGCTTTTTTGACGTGACTTCTCTCTCCACCCACCACATCCCACTGTGAAACAAGGTCTTGTACAAAGGGCTCAGAAAATGCAAAAGGGAAACATTGTCCCTTCAGACTATGCAGGGATGTGCTTTGTTTCCCATCATACTTTTTTTCCAGCAGTCTTTTGAAGGACGCCTCAGATCTCTGAACCTAGCCTTTTCTGCTGTCAGCTAGGGCTATAAGAATTACATACAGCAAAGAAACTGAGAAAATAATGTGAATAGTGTCTACAAGAACAAGGGAAAGCTGCACACAAAAGCCAGTGATTGATTAAAACGCATTCTTTTCTCATAGGGGCTCCTAATTAGCTTACTAATACCATTCCCATCTATTTTAATAATGTAAAGGTCTCCTGTCACATAAAACAAATGGGCAGTGTCTTTCACACCCTCTCTACCTCTGGAAGTTTACCTGAGAGAAACTTTTCCCTTTCCACTTCCAGCTCTGTCAGTGAGATTCCCCTCTCCTCTGGGAGGAGTGAAGCTTCCCTGCTTGCACGTTGTCAGGCAGGTTCACCTCAAACAACAGTTACCAGCTACCTGGATAGACCCTCTCCCCTCAGCTCACCCCCAACAGCTGTACTTCCAGATGTTAACATTGCATCCAGCACCCAGGTCAGCATTTTCATCTGGTTGACCCAGACTCTATAGAAAGTCTCAACCCCACCAGGGGAATGGCTATCATGTCAACCCCATGCCTCATTATCTGAATGTTTGGCTGTCCTTATCACCCAGGATGGATGTGAGGTTTCCTCCTAACTTGTCTCCCAGAGTTCAGAGGGTTCATGGGAGAAAACCCAGTACCCCTCCAAAGCAGGACACTGTTAATCTGGCACGTAGAATGATGGCAGATGGGCTGGCACTGAAGTCACGACAAAGAGCAGCATGTCACAGGGATTACTAGGCCAGGTCAGACACACAGCCTGTCTAGCCCACTGTTTGTCACTCTCTCACAGCAGCTTGCCAGATGCTTCACTAAGAAGTATAAGAGTCTGGTAATAGGCATGGTGCAACATGTCCCCAGTCCCCTCACTTCAGGCTGTCCCCATGAAGACTTCAAATTTCCTCTACAGCTGCTTACCCTTAGCACCTTCAAGAAGACACTCCCAACACACTGTCCTCCTACCCTAGATGATCCCCACTAAATGGAGGAGTTGAGGGAGAAAAGTACCATTTACCTATGGCGAACAGGGTGGACGGTGGTCCAAGGGAGAATAGGGGTGTGCTGCTCCTGCTGCTGTCAGGTAAGGATTAAATTGTGAGAGGGGAGAGGAAGGAGAAGTCATTGTTTCTCCTAGGGGGAGAATTCATGGGAATTTCTTTTTCTTTTTTTTTTTTTTAAACTGTGAGTGGCTCTAGTACTCAATTCAGGCAATAGATTGAGTTTTTCTTGTTATCTTGGTCAAGTTAGTGTTATCAGTCATATCAGAGCAGTTTCCAGTACATGACCACTGGTTCTCATGAGTCAAAAGGGAGGTGTGAATATCTTGTTAGTTCTAGTACAAAGCTGCTTAGTGACTCCACACTCTTGGTTTCAGAGAATATAAGGCAGAAATGACTCCATGCACGTTACACAGCTCTAAACCCATAGAAATAGCAGCTTAATTGTAAAAGGAGGTTATCTGCAAACTCTAAAGCTCTACAGAACAATAAGTACAGTAGCACACTATAAACAGATAAGCAGTCCATATTATCCACGTTGTCTACAGCATGAACCTTGTCCTCTTGGGACAACTTTGTCAGTGCTGTGTTGGAATGGACATTGCACAACCCCAGTGTTGAACTGCAAAATTACTTGTCTATAGTCCAGTTTTCTGGTATGGGTATTTACCATAAGTACTCAGATTTGTACTTATGCAGCTGACTTTAAGCATTCATATACGAGATTTAGGCAACCTTTCAATTTAAGAATAATAAAGAGAAGAACAACACAATATGCTTTTTTATGGCAGGCTGGCTCGCCAGCTTAACTAGCAACTGATTCAATGTGCCCTTTAAGGACACGCTCAATGGGCAGCCTGAGTCACCTTCTGGGACAGAACACACACAGGCTGTCCCTTGCTTTCACTGTGTGCAGCAAAGTGGCAGATGCCTTTTTTAAAACTGCCATTGGAAATTTGGTCTTAAGAATACCTACCCAGTATGACCTTCTGAAACTTCTAAAAACTCTGCTGATGGGCACAGTTTTAAAAGCATGTTCCTAATTCAATCTGAGTACAAATGAACATGTTCAATTCAGAGCACGCAAACTATGTACGTCAACAGGTCTCATTGATGCATAATGTCTCTCAGGACCTGATCAACAACTTCAATAGAGAGCACTCAATTTCCATGGGCCAAATGTCCCTAGTTGTATATATCTAGAAACAAAGCATCATGAGGTCCAAAAGGACCACTTAAGCAGAAGAATACATACATGGAGAAAGCTTCCTTTCATATCCTTCTGAGGAGGCCGACACAAAAAGAAAGAAACAAGGTGTTTTTGTCTACATATAGTGATGGAACATTGTGACTGTTGTAAGTCACTACTGTGACGGCTCTCAAATTTAGCTAATTAAGAGATGTTTCATCAGAAGAAAATATCTGTAAAGTCAGTGTGCCTAACAAGAAGCTATGTTGGTTAAAAGTGTTCACAAAAGAAATTCCAAACATTCTTCAAATATATTCAAATTACTTCCCTAATTAACATTAATAATTAAAGCTTTTGGGATTGATGTCATAGGGAACAAAATCTCTTTTTGTTTTCTGATCATATAAAATGATGGTAGTTTCCTTTTCTCTACAGATTGTGAGCTCTCTAAGTAAGCTTAATTTGAGAAAAATGAAAGTCTTTTTAATGAAGAACTGTATTCTATTTGCTTTAGCTACCGTGGTCTTTCTAACATCGAATAGCATGTGCCTAGCTGAACTGATGAAGTCCAGTCTGCAGAGCAGAGAAGACTATGATGACAAATATTATGAGGTAAGATCTGTAATATTATAACATTATTTGGAGGAATGGTGGGTCAGATGCTGTATGCTGTGAAGTTTTTGCAAAGGCTCCGCTAACTTCATTGCACAGGATTGGGCGTTATAGCACTTACAGCACGAAAAAGGCTTGTTGAGACAATTTTCGGGAAATTCATTTGCTCTGACACACATGCTATGTAAATCAATTCATATTTCAATTTTCTTGCCATACAGGTTCGTGATCAGGTTGAGACTTTTTCTGAAATGTTTCTCACTTTCACAGTGAGGCCTCAGTTAACATTCCTGTCAGGCATTTTATGCACATGACATAAAAGATACATTACTAATCCAAAATTAATAAAGACATGCTTGTAATACTCAAATAATAATGATAAACAGAGAACATTACAAATCTAATGTAGTTAATGGTCTTAAAATTCTACCCTGGAAATTGACTATAAAAATATCTTTGCAGGGTTCCACACATTATGCCTCAACAAATGCCAAATAAAATTTTTGTCTCAGGCATCATCACCGGTGTAATAAAGATCCTTCAAACCAAAATACAACTTAACTATGCCAATGAAATTCCCTGATCTTCAGATCTCACTCTTTTATGTATTTCAGGAGGAGTGTGCAGGTGCAATCTGAGGCAGAGTTATTTAACATTTTACTCATGGAGTATGAACTAGAATGGTTCATTTCCTTTCTCTCCCAACTGGTGGGGAAGCTCTTGGAGACGTCACCAAACTGGGGAAATGAACTGAAATTAGGACTAATAGCTCTTGTGTCTCTAACCGAAATCAAAAATCATATTTGTGCATGTTTGCCTTTCAGGCTGAAAAGCTTATACTTTTCACAAAAAAAGATGTGCGATTTTCAATATGCCCAGGGAATACTGCTACATTGGAAAATGTTGTTTTGATATAGTTATTTTTCAGGGAACAGTTGCACTTTTTCATCTTGAGACAGTTAATATACCAGGCACAGTTCTACACTGTACTCCAGCATAGCCACCGGAAAGTAGATTTTGTGCTCTGACAGCCCAGGAGCTCCTAAGCCTTCTTATGTGCAAGCGGAAGATTAAAACAACTTAAAACTCACAGCAAACTCTATGCTGCACTGCCAAAATAGGCTTGAAGTGGACTTAACCCAAATGATTCCCACTCATTTCCCTGGCTGTTATCCCAGCAGTATGTTGGGTGAAAAGCATCCACCCCGTACTTGGGAAGAAATGAGCTACTCCTCCAGTTGTCCCATCTTGTCTTCTTCCCCTGCTCATCCACACCACATGAATAAGAGCCAGTAAATATGGTCAGCCTTTTCCCTCCAAAGAGCTTCAGTTGGTAACAACGGAAAATGTGGACCTGATAATGACTCCTATCCACACTAGTGTTACCCACTAGCTTTCTAGGGAGAGATGAAAATGAATACCTTATGTGACTGGTGTGTAGATGGAATAATACCCTATTAAAAATTATGTTATCTATTTTTTCTTTTCTTTTAGATTAAAGATATCCTGGAAGAAAAGCAGAGAAGCCTCAATTTTGAAGAAATGAAAGACTGGGGATCAAAAAATATCATTAAAATGAACACTCCCGCAGTAAACAAGGTGCCAAATTCAGTTGCTAACTTACCTCTTAGGTTTGGAAGAAATTATCCACAAGAAAGAAGCATTAAGCCAATTGCTAATTTGCCTCTGAGATTTGGGAGAGCTTTTGGAAAGAGTCCACCTGGACGTGCCCCACATTTATCACGCAGGCTTGGGAGATCTCCATTTGTTAAAAGTTCCATTCAATCGCTTCTAAATTTGCCACAGAGATTTGGGAAGTCACTGTCTGTCAATCTATCTCAAGATGTCCAGGAATCTGAACCAGGTAAAAACTACCTAAGTGTTCAAGCTATGTATTAAATTGCACATTAAACCGCAGGTTAGCAGGGATCAAATACAACAAACCTTCCTCCCGGAATATTCCATGAGCATTTCAATGAGAGTCCAATTTACCAAAAGAAAGATTTGGAGTTGGGTTGTATTAAAAATCATCATCACAATGGCTAGTTGAGAACCCCTTTATGAAATGTTTTCTAATGAGAAGATGCCAAATGGTCAAAGCTGAAAAAGTTCTTAGGAGAAGATTAGGTTTGACAATACTTTTTGACATCAGGTATCATTTTGAAAAGTTTAAAGCTTTGGGGGAAAAGGTTCAGAATCATTAAAACATTCCATTTCGATGTTTTAAAATAAGCAACAAAAATTACTCTAAATGACTTTTCATTTTCTAAATTTATGCTAATTAGAATAAAAAATGACAAAATTCAAAACTGAATTGCAGCATTCTGAAATGATCAGAAAAAAACTTTCTTTTTTCTCATCCAGACCTATTTTTTCACACTGTGATACTGGGGCAATGTTTGAGATTTTGATTTTTCATTCCAGGTTAAGATGAGAAATTTTTTTGACATCTCAGAATTTTTTTCATGCTGGGAAAACTACTTCCTGCCCATTTCTAAGAAATAATTTAAAGTAGCTCTTCAATAAAGGTCCTTCTTTTCATATCTGAAAATATATCCTTTGTTTTGATACCAAAGTTGGCTTCAGTCAGCTTCAGTCGGCTTCAGTTGGCTGCCACAACTTTGCATCTGACACATGCATAAAGTAGAAGTTTGAGAGAGGAAAGACAACTGGCATATTGGAAGCCAAGATTTCTTTCTGATTTAATTTGATTTATTTCATTTCCCTGTCACTGTCTCACCTGATAATAACAGTTTTTGTTTTGTGATATTTTCTGGTATTTTTAGGGATATGAATTTTAACAACTAAATTAAAATTGGAATCAAATGATGAAGACTGAAACTGAAAGACTTGGAAAAAATGCAGTCTGTACTCAAACCTAAAGGTCATGAGAAGGAAACATATATGAGAATTTAAATGCAAACTTGTCTTCATATTATGAATAATATTGTATTTATTGTGTATAAACCCTTGATGTGCAAGGTAATGATAACTGTAGTGATTGTTGTGCTAGTTTACCTCAGTGGTGGTAGTATATAAATTCTAATTACTTCTTCATAACTGATGTCCTGTTGGTTGTAAAAACTATTTTCAGAATAGTTGTATAATAGAAGCATTTGAATTTAATGCTTCTTTTAAGCAAAATTAAAAGAAACATAGCATAAATAAAGCATGACTGAAACCATCAGTACCTTTGTGTCATATCTAGCTGAAAAAAAATCAAGAAAATGTAGAGAAAGCATTTTTCCTGTTGTGTATGAGTCATGTTAGACATAAATCTGAAGGGTGACTTGTCAGGAATTTGTCACAAATAAAAACTAGTTTCTTGGACCCCCTCAGAGGAATAACATCTAACCAAAGTCATTTCATAATGCACTTACCCTATTTTTTTGTATCTGAAATAATGTCCTACAGGATCTGCCCTGTGGGTATCCTGATTCCTCTGTTAATGTGAATGACACGCACACAATAAGGGCTACTCCACTATGAACCCACATTTCCATGTCACGTTTCTTATCAAAAACATTTTAAGTAGAATCTTTTGTGCTTACGTTTCTTCCAAAATTCAACTGTCAGTAAGTTTTGAACAGAAGCTGAATTTGTAACTGTTAAAGGGAAGTCAAATCTGGTGGGCTGCAGGACCCATGGCCTGCTACAGCCTGGCTGCTGCAGTCCCCTGATGCTTGCTCCAGCCAATAGGGAGGCTGTGCATCCCCAACACCCTCCCCTGCACGCGCGCCGGCGCGCGCGCGCACACACACACACACACACACAAACACACACACAGAGCAATGCTTTCATAGGCACCACATACCCACCCACAGGACTCACATAAGCATGACTCATACAAACGACCTGATCCTGTTCTTACTCACTGGCTAATCAGGCTCCAAGCTTGCTAGCAGATCTCACACACAAACACATACACACAACTGGTCTCTCCAATAGCTGGTCCAGACCCAGGATCCCTCCAACAGCCAGCTCAGACCTCTGGTCCCTCCAGTGTCCAGCCCGTGGACCTATGGTCTCTCCAGCAGCTGGCTCTCAGACCCCTTTTCCCGTTTACCAGCTAGTGCAGCTTGAAGTTCACACTAGCATCACATATACACAAATAGGTCCCTCCAGTAGCTGGCCTTAGACACTCAGTATATCCAGTAGCTGGTTCTCAGATGCCCAGCCCTTCCACCTGATAGCCCTCAGACCTACAGATCCCTTTGACCCATAGTCTCTATCTCCAGTTGCTGGCACTCAGACTGCTCGCTCTGCTCGCTGGCTAGTCTGGTTTGAAATATGCTACTGGATCATCCAGCAACGCACACACACAGAATGGAGAGTACACTCACACAGGGAAGTAGCCAGGAATAGAGTCTAATAAGAAGATAGGACAGACTGTGATGATCAGGCACAGGCATGGCCAGACAGGCATACTGACAACAGCTTATTTGCATGCAATTCACTCTTTTTTAACCCCTCTCCTCTCCATTTTCCCATACTTGTTCCTCCCCCATGCACCTTGCTCCTTCCCTCTGACTGCCTTTGGCTCCTCCCCTAAACATCCCAAAATAGTTTAGCACTTTCCCACAAACCCCCCTAAACATCCCTTAGTCAGTTTACAAAGTCCTTCTGGCCCCCTCAAATATCCCATAGGTTTGCTCTTTCTCATGAGAGCCATGAGAACCAGTTACAAAGTTCTGGCTAAACCTCCTCTAGGCTTTCAATGGCCCCATCAATCACCAATTTAGGAGTTCTGCACTTTGTTACTGTCTTGGAATCTCCTGTTCCTTAGGATTTCGGTGTCTGAGCGTTTAATTTACTTCTCCTGTCTCTTGTCTTAGTCTTTAATGCTGAATAACCAATAACCAGATATTCTTACATTCCATATATCCTTAGAGGAACCTAAAAAAAACCACAATCAAATCAATCCTTTTTATGAGATAAATTCATAGGTGGGACAGAGCCTGCCTTGCCATTAATTTTCTCCATTCCTCTACAAAATTAATGAAGCTACCTGCAACAGCACTATTCAACTTCTGACTGGTGAATCTAATTCTGTCCAAAGTAGTGAGACTCTACAGTCCTGAGAATATCTAGTCTCTCTATTCACTCAGACTTAAAATGTCAAAGAGACAGGGAGTTCTAAACAGATTAAGATTTTCAAGAGACTGTACCTTTTGAAAGCAAGAGTCCTAAATCAATCTTTGGACTTCTCTCTGAGTCTCTGAAAACATTCTACCAAAAAAGTGCTGGTGAAACACCAGTTTTATTCTGATATGGCACTGAAGTACCAGAGATGTCATTGCAGTGATAGAAACTTATCCTGACAAGGCAGGAAGTACTAGGCCATGTGAATGCCACCAGAGCTCTGAAAGTGGCAGATGGGCAAAGAATGACTTTACCATCAGAAATATAGGCACCATTTCACTTTTTGCAGCATAACACTTGGGAATCACAGCATGGTACTGCTGCCAAGTAAATGCTGAAGGATGCTGGTCAACAAATTGTCTACCTGGGGCAAAGTCCAGGCTTTGGCCTACGCAGTGGAAGTTTTACCATTGCCTGCCACCAGAACAGGATGTCATCCTTTCTGTAGTCAGGAAAACTGTGGGATTTTTTAGTGATTTATAGTCAAATGAACGGCAGAAGGAATTTATCTGAACTTTGAGCTGTGTCCTCAAGCTGCAAACCTCACTGTACATCGTGTGAACCTAGAGCAAACAAGATTTGTGAGAATCCCTGAGCAGCAATAGGAACTGCTTTTTAAGGCACATATTACTTTGCAACAGGGAGAGGGTACATACCAATTGCCACTAATGATGGCTGCTGTGGGAGGAAAGCAGAAGCCTGAACACTGGCCCAGCAGCAAGTACAATTAGGTTGCACTCTTACTGCAAGCTTCACAGCACGGATACAGGACATGACTGTTGATTTATTTTCCCTCAGCAGAGGAAGAACTAGGTGAAAAGTACATAAAGAAGGAATTATGCTATGCTGTGCAAAATTTCTGTTTGGTTTGAGAGCATGTGAGCCAAGAAAACAATCACTGGATAGTGCAACAGGAAAAGAAGGGGCACAACAGGCAACATACATTGCTATAGCTATTACTCACCAGATTATTTATCATCCATATACAGATATTATTCATGAACTGTGAAAAAGCAAGGAAAGAGCTAAAGTAAATCAAGTGACAGACTATCAAGGCTTACCGGCATGAATTCTAGTTGGGTTCAGGAACTCCCAGCCTTCCCTGCCATACACATAATATTTATGTCTGTCATTAAAGCCTCCAAGCAAAAACAACACCAGGCTTATTTTAGATTCTGACTTAAGCTCATAGAGAGGACAGCTGACAATCTACTGGTTAATTTAAAAGTCTGAGGCTCATCATGTGGTTGATTGCAATATATCATTTGGAGAGATTTAGTGGAATATAAAAAGACAGTGTTGTTTTACCCTTAGAAGAAGCCAAAGACTTGGGCATCTGGCATTTGAAAATTCCTATTGCTCTGACAATTTTCCTTTGTAGAGGCAGGAAATCAGCCTCCCTCACTTCCAAAGATGTAGGGAGCCAGACTGAGCTGGACATTGAACTCGGAACATTTCTGTCTTCACATTAAGAATCTGGCATGCAGGTGCACAATGAGTTTTTACTGCTCTGACTACAGCCTCTTGGCAAAAGAAGCAGTCCTGCTTCCCTCCACCCCACAACCATAACATCCTGCCACTTCTCTAGTTCCAACATTAGCCATCATGAAACCGTATGGATGGAAACTAAAACCTAAACCTACAAAAATCCCAATGATTTGTTTTTAGCTGCATCAGCTGGCATGGCCCCGTGATCACTAGTGCCAATAGAAGGAAAGGAGAAGGTCAGCACAGGTGGGCACAGGCAATCTTTCCATCTTAGATTTGTTTAAACTGCTTTTGCAATGGCCCTCTTCATTTTCTTCAAAAGATGACAACTGAATTAGCCTTGGTCCAAGTGTTTAGAAAATGAGAGAGCAATAGAGTTTTTCAAACACTGACTAAGACGTTTGAAATATTGCCCCCCTCCTGAAGAGCACCCAGTAGCAAGAGTTGGAAATGTTTTCATTAGTGATATCTACTAGAGTATGTATAGCACAGATGCACGGATATCCACGGATATCCAGTTGGCCCTTGTGCTGCTCTCCTGAGGACATAAGGGGTAGAGGGTTCCCAGTTAGTGCCACTCAGATCTTTTGCAGCATGGGATACAGATGAGAAAAATATGTCCTATTAGGAAAGAAAGAGAGGCTTACGGGATCTTTATTGATGTT